ACACACCTGTTGCTTGAGTGGTAATTGCTGTGATGCCATGTTCTGTTCTAGGTTATTTTTATTACAGGAAATTTATTACTCTTCTATTATTTTTGTGTGTCTCAGAGCCTATTTTTTCTCCCCAAGAAAAATCCTTTGAGAAACCTGAGGGGGTGTTGTCAGGGTTAGTAATGACCTTGTGAGAGCACTGCTAGCAGATAACCAAGGTCACCTCCCTGCACACAGTGACTGCACTGAGCACTACAAGTGACTATTATGCATATTCTTCTATTGTCCTTTGTTCATTTCCTATGTAGGATGAAAATCCAATATTGCAAAAGTAGATAATGATAATCCCTTCACCAGAGGGTCTTAGGGCACCAATAACACCTGCACTTCCACATTTTCTACAGGAGAAGAACAATGGAATTTGAGTAAATGTTGTGTATTTTACTGTGAGTGTTATCTGATCTTCATTCCTGTTCAGCCTCTGAAGCCAGAAATTGTTAATTATATCCACCATAAACACTGGATTAAAAAAGCCTTGGACAAAGGCACAAGAGGCATGAAAACAGAATAATGAAGAGTTGTTTTGTTTTTATCCACGCACTCCTTAGTAAATGAAACACTGCTCCTGTGTTAAGGAAGAGAATGGAAATGAAGAGCTGAGAATGATTTTATTGATAAGGAATGGTTGAGATACTGAAGAAAAGCATAAGTGTGTTGCTGGGGTTTAGTGGCAACAGCAACAGAGAAACTCCTCAAAAGCCTGGCAAACCTGCTGATGAAAATTACACAGGAAATGGAGCTCCTCAAAGGGTCACTTTTCTCTAAACTATTTGTTTCAACATATATATATATATATTTAATAAGACCTCATCTGGCTGAGTGAAGAGGCTCCTGTAGTTTTGTAGATCTTGAGGAGATTTAAGTAACCCAAGAAGAGAACTGATGTTTGGGTGATGTTAATGACAACAACCCACCCTTTCCCTTCAAAAAACCCTCAGTTTTGGTAACATTTGTGCTGTTTGAATGGCAAGTGACTGAACCCGGTGGAGATTCCTAAAGCTGAGTGAGTTGTGGTGAAAGAAATCACCATGAGAGGGAGTGCAGGTTCTACTTGAAGGTCTCTTATGGATGGAAATAGAAAAGGGCAGGAGGTGGGTCCAGGCTGTTCCAGCTGCAGTTTGATCATCAATATGATGAGTTCCCTGTAGTTTTATATTGCTTTATCCAATCAAAGGGATGTTGCAGCTAATCCCTGTTACAGACTCAGGTGGATGTAGTTTGGCTGCATATCTGCATGAGTGCCCTGTGATGGGAGGTGACACAGTAAAGGCACAAGGACTGTGAGAAGTGAAGGATCTGCTTTACTGCTTGAGAAATTTGCTGTTATTTCCACTAGCACTGAGAAGTCTGCCTGCATTAAGCCACAGTGTGCTGTGCAGGGAGAGGGATAAGGAGGCTATCACTGCTATCAGAGTGTGCTTGTAGTGAGAAGCCTTTGAACACAAGTGCTGAGCTGTGAAAAGCCAAAGGGTCCTCAAGCACAGCAGGTCTGAGGGCACAAACATTATCCATACTGCAGTATGTTCCCAGGTGTTGCATGAAGTAATGTGTGGTGATTCTTTGGGCTTCTGTGTGCAGGGAGGTGTGAGGTCAGACCTTTGTTGTTAAAAAAATCAGATATAAATGTCCTCTGTTTACTTTTGAACCTGCTTGAGAGCGTAAAGGAGGAGAGAATGAAGCTACAACATGGAACAGCAAGTTTAGTGTGGGAAAGAGACTTAAAAATGAGCAGGTTCTTTAAAAGTTTGTTTTCTTATTCAGAAACACAGAACCCACAAAGTGTTTTGTGGGTCTTCCTTTTGCTGACTTGCCTTCATGTCCTTTTGCTTTTTATCTTCATTGGTTTCTTGGAACAAAAAACTTGATTACTTTTGTCTTTACAGTGTCTGGCTACAAGGAGTGATTAGAACTACAGATGGCCTTTTTGATTTTTTGCATGGCATTACAATTAACTGAAGATTTTCTCTGCTTGATTGCTGCCCTTATATTCATCCCTGCTTATTTTATCTTTTGTTTTTACATCATCAGGTTTTTTTTCATCTCTCATTACCAGATATTTTTCTTTTTGGATCATCTCTTCTCATTAACATTTAAAGTCTTCAGTTCTCTTCTGTCCTTACCTTGAGTCTATTTTTACTTGACCTTTTTACTTTTTTCTCCAGCTTGTGTGCACTGTGTGTGTGTTTTACCTTTTTTAATTGCTTCTTTTTTTTCTGTCCTTAGTGTTTTTGTCTTTTTTGTCTTTTTTTTTTTTTTTTTTTTTTTTTTTACATTTTACTGTGTACCATCTCTTCTGGCCCTTTTAATTCACACTTACAATGTCTAATGCAAGTCAAGTAATGCTCCATAAAGCCTAATTACACAGCTTTTCCCATGAGGGAATAAAACTTTTGGAAAGCTTCCTTTCTGCTGCTGGAGTTTACATTAGTGTCTTGCTTCCTCAGATTCCAGATGAAAGGGTTTGTATTTTCTAACAGTCACATTCAGCTTGGTTAAAAGTTCATTTTTATTCTACTTCCAATTGCACAACTGGAAAAACTCCTCTTTAGGCAGCACAATAACCTTCAAAGGCTCAGGCTGACATATGTATTCAATCTAACATTTATATGCTCCAAGGAGATGTTATTTTGTTCACTGTAACCTCTCATGCTTAGCAGTGACCATTCTCTTTCTGATTTCTTTACAGAATGAGAAGCAATTTCTTGTTAAAGATCCACCTTTTGCCTCAAATATATACCATCACTGCTAGATTCATAAGTTTCAGATGAATCTGAAACTTATTTTCTTTTTTGATCAGATTTCTGCAATTGCTCTGTCTACCTGCTTTGCTCAGCCTTCCTGACCTTTGCAGTGTGTGTATGTGTCTTCCTGGCTCTGCTCTGCTGCAGAGACTGTATTTGTCATGTGAGGAGAGATTGGTTTTTATTCATGCAAAGTTCTTGGTGGTGGCTCTGCACTATAAAGTAGCTCAGATTTTATAAGGCAGGAACAGTAGGAATAAAGAATGATGGATGAGTTTGATATGGTTTGCAGGAACTATTAAAGAATGAGGAGAAAAATCAGGATAAAGGAAATTGTGAGATCTAGGAAAGATAGTCCAAGTCCAGTGACTTGGAGAGTGCCTGGAGGAAGAAGGTCAGAAGTGATGTGGAGGAAATGTGCTGTAAATGTTGATTTGAGAAGTGAAGGCCTGACAGGGAAGAAAATACATTTGTTAAGGAGCTGAAATTTGAATGCAAGAGTTGCAAAGGAAGAGGAGGGATGAACAAACCAGACTTGGCTGATCATAGTTTAAAGTGAATATAGCTGTGCAGACAAGGACAGTTTTGCTTTTAGAACTTTTGGCTCACTTCCTAAAGAGCTGAGGCTCTTCGGGTCACAGTCTCCTGGCAGAGCTTTCGAGGGTCTCAAAACTGGTCACATCCTCCAGGTTCTCCAAAAAATGACCTCATGAGCAAGGGAAAGAACTTGTATTGCACCTTCAGTGCCACCTTTTGAGATGTAGAGTCTGTGCAGGAGAGAGGTTATCAGCATGGCAGCACTGTGGAAGGTTTCAGTCACCTCTCATACCTGAGATTGCAACAAATTCAAGCACAAATCAAATACAAAATCAGCTTTGTCAGTTCAGTTACTTGTTTAAGTTCACACTATTATTACTAAGTATTTTTAAGGCAGTTTCCAGCACTGGGGACAATGCTGATGCTGCCCAAAGCCTTTGGGTGTCTCTAGTCAGAGTAGTTCAACATTTCATCTTTTAGTGCTTAGGAAGAGCTTGAAAAGAGACTTATTTGCCACTGGTGGATGTCAATAGCTGATGATATTCCTAACTAATTGCTTTCTGCTGACTAATCTCCTCCTTTTTCTGATGTTGCTGATTCCTTAACCTGCAGAGTTAGAAGTGCACATTTAAAAACCTTAATATTGTAACATAATAGTTTATTTTTAAAAAGTGGAGGGATCTGTTCTGCTCAAGTTTTGTCCTTTGAGAGAGCTGTGGGATTCAAGACTTGGGTTGACAGGACCAGAAGCCAAGTCTCTGCTCCCACCAGAAACCTGATGATCAGAGGTCCTTCCTGCCCTGTGCTTTCCTCAGTCTGACCACTGAGTCAGCTCTGTCTGGATAGAACACATTTTAGCTAAGTGCCCCTAACACATTTAGAGCTGTCATAGTGGTCTTGAGATAAAGATCTTAGTGATTTAAGTGGTGTTATCACAGCAGAAAATCCCAGTAAGGCTGTAGCAAAACACACTGGCTGTCAGACCTCATCCTCCCCTCCAGAGCTTATACTGTGCTTCACTGGCAGTTGGGTGCTGAAGGGCAGGTTGAGCTGTCTTTATTTTAACCTGAGGAAAGGCCAGTTTAAAGTAAGTGAAAGGTGATTAAAGCATAAAGGTAATCTCTGCAGTTTCATCTCTCAGTAACTTTGGGATGAATTTGATTCCTTTAGTCATGCACATATTAACACAGTTTCACTGTGATCAGGAGGACCATGATTTTAGCACTGACACATGTACAAACCAATTTAAAGTTAGAGAAAACCTGCAGAATTAGTAGCAGAAGATGCAGCTTTGCCTTAGATTAATTGTTGTACAGATAGTTAGCTAAAACATTGGTAAAATGCAATTACAGTTTGACTTGTTCTGTTAATCTTACACTATGGACTTGGAATTCTCAACTGGAGAGGCAAAGTGGGTGGTGATTTTGCTGTAATCATGAGTTTCAGGCCTGGATAATTCATTGTTCAAAGAGCTTAAGGAATGGATAGATATTTATTTGTAGCACTGAGGTATTTTCTCTAGAGAGAGAGAGATTTTATTTACAACACCTGGCACTGTGCAGGGAGTTAATGAACATCTTGTATCATTTGCCTTTGGGAATTGTCTAGTCTACATCTTGTTTGCTGTTGTTTAGTAGACTTGGAATTTGTGTGTTTATGGTTCAGTCAGAGATGTTATGATGCTTCAGAGATTTTGCATTTTAGAGGAAGAAAACTTTACTCCTATGTTTCATGAACTTCTCTTGGAGTTTCTTTGCTTTCTGCCTGGAAGTAAGGTTCACATTTACACTGAAGGATTCAAGAGCCCAAAGAAATTCACTGACAGTCTATAGGTACAGAATCAATACTAGTAATTTAAGGTGTAACACTGAACTGCATTGCATGAACAGAAAAGCAGAGTTAGAACTGCCACAGTCCTGCTAAGTTGTCACTTTGTCCTAGATCACAGCAAGAGGAAGGGATTTGCTTTCTCAAGATGATATGAAAACTGGGATTTCTTTTTGTGGAAGCCTGTAAATAAATGGAGACTGGCTTGACTCCAGAGTCATGTTTAGCTCATCAACAAGTTTCCACAGGAATTTAAATCAAGTATTTCATGGTTATGAAGCTGATAGGAACATAAAAATCTTCATAAAGTAGAAACATTCAGAAATGTTTCTCCCTGTATGTAATTTTATGCCTTGAGATGAGGTGTGTGCATATGCACATGCCTTTGGCATCACAAACAGTTGCTTTCAAAACATGTCATAAAACGAGAAAGCTTGTGGAAGGCTCCTAGGATAATAACCATCATGTGTCTCACCAGGGGATTGTATCCCAGAGATTGGGGATTGTGGAAAATGATGGTGAGCATAGTCTGAGGAGAAATATCTGTAAACACACTAACTTTTCTCTGTGGTGTGACCAGACTGTGCTCTCTACATCAGTCCTGGTGAGTAGATCAGAGCCTGTTGGCTGTGCTCCTTGCAGCTTGGAAGGAAATCTCTTGGCTTTGGCTTCTGGCTGTTTTTATTGTTCTAAATGGCTTCTTGGTTTCCTTTGAGCTGCACAGAGTTCAGAGATGACTCCTAGTCAGTTAGTAACTTAACCTCTGCTGTTCTTTAAAGGTAATTCTGCCAATTGAAGTACCATTCGATATCAAATCTGTGCTATCCATGTCTACAGAATCACAGAATGCTAAGGGGGTGGAATGGACCTTAGAGATGATCAAGTGCCAACCCCCTGCCCCAGGCAGGGATACCTCCCACCAGAACAGGTTGCTCAAGGCTTTATCCAACCAGGATGGGGGCAGCCACAGCTTCCCTGGGCAACCTGTGCCAGTGTCTCACCACCCTCACGCGGAGAACTTCTGCCTAATATTTAATCTAAATTTCCCTCTTTCAATTTCTCCCCATTACTCCTTGTCCTGTCCCTGCAGTTCCTGATGCACAGTCCCTGTGCAGCTTCCCTGGAGCTCCTTCAGCTCCTGGCAGGTTGCTCTGAGGTCTCCACACAACCTTCTTTGCTATACCCCTGTCTCCTAGAGAAATGCTTTGATGCAGTGTCACAGGGTACCAGCTGTGTTGTTGTTGTTGTCTAACTTGTGCATCCCAAAGTACAGGCTGAGAGGATTCTTGGGGTTGGTTCAGTATAGCCGTTCTTGACCAAGTGAGGTACACTGAAGATGACTAAATCTGATTGTCACTGGTGGGGGATCCTGTGGCTCTTTGGAATGAGCTGCAGCAGGTGGTCAGGACAGGATTTTGGTATTTCTGTTCTTCCTCAGGCACTGGAAGTTTGTTCTCAGCATAAATAAAGCTCCTAAATCCTGCCTAGGCCATGAGTAAAAATTGATGAGGCTTGAAAATACAGAATTGTACTTTCCCCTTTTTTTCCCTTCCCTGTTTCTTTAATTCCTATCCTCTTCTACAATAAGAAACTCCATTTGTCTTTTTACCCCATTTATCTCCCTTATTTTTATCCCCTACAATATGGACTTAAGAACCTTCATTTTACACAGATCCTGATTGTGATTTGTCTCTGAATAAGATCCTCAAACATCCACAGAAATCCTTGGCTCTTTGAGAGGTTCCAGATCATCAGTGTGCACATGCAGCACAGTGCAGGGCTGAAACTTGACATTGAAAAGAACATATCAGAGTTTAATAAAAGTTAAAACTGAAAGTAAGAATGATTTAGGCCTTTGCTGGAGTGATGAGTGACTTGTGATTAGTTCCACCCTCCCTTTTAAAGGAAACTGTTGAAGCAGTATCACCACCTATTGAAACGAATGTGCCAGCTTTAAATTCTTAATCAATTATCCCTTTCCTTTTTATAGTTGTCTTCTCCGACGCAGAGAGAGAGAAGCTGAGAAAGTTCACAAATAAGTCTTACCTTCTGGATAAAAGTAGTCGTCACCACATCTATCTTGGATTAATTGATATCCTCCTGGCATATTGCTATGAGATCTGTGTCAACGAAGGGGACAACAATGTAAGTTAAATGGAAGTATAATATGTTGTAGGAACCTAGTGCTGGACTCTGTCCTGTCACTTAGAAAACTTGCCTTTTAAAGTGAACTTACTTCCAAGCAAGTCCCTATCCAGGAGGTCATTTCCAACCCGGTTGATTCTAAGACGAAAAATAAGTTAAGTTAAAATGAAAGACTTTGTATGTCTAGATTGAGCTGTCAGGGTCCCTGTGGGGATTTATAGGGTTTGTAAATACTTCTTCTGGAACAGCATTTTAGCTGTAGGACAGACATGGAGTTGTAGAAGATTCCAGGCAGTTCTGTTTATTTCTGATTTGTGTTGGGCTGTGTCTTGATCCATGTTAATGTAAATGTGACAAAAGAATTGTTCCTTTTTGTTCCATGCTGTTCTGGGGATAGTTTGCCCTCTTGGGAATGGATTTGCTTCCCAGATACAACTTTGTGCTCCAATCTCCTTTGCTGATATTAACCAATGAGATGTTTTCTCTGTGTTTTTCATCAAGACAGTGGAACATATAAACAGTTCTGTCTTAGACTGACTTGTAGGGTGTGGAGTTTAGAATGACAAGCAGCAGTGTCCAGACCTATTTATTTGACAGAATCATCCAGGAGGGTTGTGGTAGTTAGTGCTGCCAAGAACACAACTGTTCAGTTCTTTATTGGGGTTTGCACTAACTGTATGGTATATGTGGAAAACACACTGTGGGTTTTGCCCTTTTTTTCCTTTTCTTTCCCCCTTTTATTCCTCTTTAATAGGAAAACCAAGACAGGCCACACAAACCTTTACTAGAGCCAGGATTATAGATCAAGGCTTTCTGGCTTTGTGCCCTAATCATCCCACTAGACCACACTACCACACAAACACTATGAATCTGTCACATTTCAAGAGTAATGACATTTTACATGTCCTGTTGGCTTCAGGGCCCTCTCTGAAAGCCAAAAGTCTTGAGCTGTTTTCATGAAACATTTGAGCTTGGCTTTTTGTTGATTCAAGTTTCTGTTGCTTTGTGCAAAGGGGCAGAATTCCACTAAAACACCATTTTCCTGTTGTATTTTAAAGGCTTTGTGCATGGAGTAAATATTCCCAATATGGAAACCCATTCAGTTATTTAACATTTGCATTGCAATAGAATCTTTAATGCTGTTCTGTGGCCATTTCAATGCATGTAATTATTGCTTCTTACTCAGAAGGGTTCTTAAATTGCTGCCAGAATGTTATCTTAAAGAGTTTGCCAGCAGTTGAGTGTTGGATTAGGTAATCCTTGTTTTACTGTCTCCTCTTAAAACCAGGTCGAATCATCTTGGAACATCAGGAAACTGAGTGCAACGTTGTGCTGGCTGGAGGTAAGGTAAAACTTAGGAGTGTTTGCTGTATTACTTGATTTTTTGGTGGTGTTTGTTGCTTTTGTGGAACTCTTTCAGTATTGGAGATGAAGTAGAATCATGAAGGTTGGAGGAGACCTCTAAGATCATCAAATCCAACCATTAACCTGTCAGTGCTGGAACCCCTAAACCCTATCTTCTGGTGTCATATTCAGACACCTCTTAAACACCTTCAGGGCTGATGATCCTTGTGAGTCCTTTCCAACTCAGGATATTCTAGGATTAATAACTTCTAAGGATGACAGGTAGTACACCAAGCTGGAATGGACTGTCCCATGCTCATTCCTGAAATTACTGAGCCAAGTCTGTTTGCAGGATCAAAACTGAAATTTGACAGGATTTTGGGGTTCAGTCCTTCAAACATTTCTAGTAGTGAATGTTATATTCAGTAACAACTTGTTCGATGACAACAGGTTTTGTGGCTCTTTTAATTCTGCAGTAGCAGATCACAAACGAGTGCAGTTAAAATGCACTGATCGCCTTAATTCCTGATTTTCTCTTCAGATCCTTGTCCTAACACAGTGGAGGAGTTTTCTGCCTGCACTTATCCTATGATACAGCAGTTCTTGGTGCCAACAGTGTATTTCACACCCAGAAAATTCAGTCTCCTGGCACCAAGCTGTTAATAATTCTGTGTTACTCAAACCATGTAGGGGAGGGTGTTTTCAGCAGTCTGTAAACAAAATTGCCTCAGCTCTGGTTTGTTTGAACTGGCTGCCACTTTGCTGGGCCTGACATGGACACACCTTAGGCTCTAAATATTAAATCACAAGGCATAAATGATTCAGATGCTAAGTGGTGATGCAGCTCAAATGAGAAATGGGTTGAGGCAGTCCCAGAATGCAGAGAAGGGTTGGCTGTCAGCAAAGCCTTTTTATTCATTGGAGTCAATTGAGAGTTCAAGATGAAATAGGTATTTTTATTTGAGTTCAGAAATGGAGTATTTTGTCTTGAAAAGTGAAAGCTGGAAAGGAAATCACTCTCTGAAAGTCTTTAATAACTCCTTAATGCCTCTGGCCTGAGTAAATTAGAGATCTTCCTCACCCATAAAGGACTCTGAGCTGTTCTGCCTGCCCAGGTATATTCATCCCTGTCTTGAATATCTGTAATTTCCATAAGAGGCAGAGTCATGTATCATTTTTAAACATCTTATATGTACACATGTATTTGGTTAATATCATGTGGATTTAATTTTTTCTTCATTCTTAAAAGGCTTTTTATAGCTTCTCCTTAATACACATAATAACGTGGGACAGATGTAATTTATTGCTTTAATCTAAAGGATGGCAACGTCTTGAGTTAGATGTTTTATTCTGATGTTCTCCACGTTTTTTTTCTAATCCCAAACCACTAAAATGTATAGGACTTCTACCATGCATAAATGTGCAGTGTCTTGTTTCTGTTTAACATGTTGATTTCCCTATCTATTCAAATACAGATTTTTAGAGGCTTAATATATAAAAATGTGCTTTTTTTTTTCCCTATTCTGCTATGACTTTTTTTCCTCTTTAAAGGAGACCAAACAAGACTAACTCAGATTTTCCACTGCTATCCACAGAGTTTCACTAGCATCCATGATGTCCTGGTATCTTTTGGAAGAAGAGTGCTGTGCTATCCCCTGTACAGACACTTTGGGTTGGTGACTCGTGCCCTCAGTGATACAGTCATGATATTGCAGCTGGGTGAGTGTTTCTGGGATTGGAAGAGATGCCAATGTAGCCACATGGTTTATATGTCTGGGATTTTTTTTTTAATAACTTTGAATTCCTTGGTCAGCTTCACCCAAACTTGAAATTCCAACATTTCTGGACATCCTGTGGTTTTCTGCAAATGAGGCTGTGGAGAGAAGAGACCAAAATTAGTGTCTTTGATAGTAAAAAGTCTCTGAAGCAACTCAGTTGGGTGTGAGTGTGGATCTGCATGAGGGTAGGAAAGCTCTACAGGGAGACCTGGACCGACTGGATCAGTGGGCTGGGAACAACTGCATGAGATTACTTAAGGCTCAGTGCTGGTCCTGCCCTTGGCTCCCAAGCAGCTCCAGGCTGGGGGAGGAGTGGGGACAGAGATGTTGGTCCCAAAGGACTTGGCAGTGCTGGTGGCACAGCTCAATGTGAGCCAACGGTGTGCACAGGTGGCCAAGGAGGCCAAGCACATCTTGTCCTGGCTCCAGCAGAGTGTGGCAGCAGGACTAGGGCAGTGCTCATCCCCCTGGACTTGGCACTGGGGAGGTCCCAGCTCAGTGCTGTGCTCAGCTTTGGGCACTCACTGCCCAAAGGCCATTGAGGCACTGGAGAGAGTCCAGCCAAGGGCAACGAGGGCAGCAAAGGGCTGGAAAACATGAGGAAGGGCTGAGGGAGTTGGGTTTGTTCAGCGTGGAGAAGAGGCTCAGGGGTGACCTCCTGGCTCTCTGCAACTCCCTGCCAGGGTTGGATGTGTGTCCTGCCATGACTGAGGGAGAGAACTAGAGGGAATGGCCTTGGGCTGAGCCAGGGCAGAGTCAGATTGGATGTGAGGAGAAATATTTTCCTTGTTCGAGTGTTCAGGCACTGGGATATTGCCCAGGGAGGTGGTGGAGTCACCATCCCTGGAAGTATTTAAGAGGCATCTGGATGTGGTGCAGGAGGATATGCTTTAGGGGTTCCAGCAGTGACAGGGTAATGGTTGGACTTGATGATGTTAGAGGTCGTCTCCAACCTTGATGGTTCAATGATTTATTAACTAGCAGGTTTGCCATCCAGCTGTCCCAGTTCCTGCCCTGTTCCATGCCAGGGGCCAGGTGAGTGTGGCCATGCAGAATCCCACATGTGAGACCAAGGGGTGGTTTTGTGGCTCCTATTCAGTGGTACAGTTCTTTGCAGGATGAAGACAAAATGGTTGAGCTGACCCTGAAGAAGGAAAAAACTGGCTGTACACTACATACTTGTAGCTTTGTTTTGTTTCACAGTGAGGATTGGAGCTGTCATCTGACTGCAAATTATTCCTTCAACAGCAACATTCTTTTTATATATTCCCTCTTTATCCCAGACAGCTTTCATGTAACAGTACAAATTTCCAAACCTATGGTTATTCCAGCTCCAGTTGTGCAGTTGTACACAACCATGTTTATCTCTTGGGTTGCTAAAGTTCTTTGCAACTTTGCTATTTATCATGAGTTACTACTTTTAAAAAAACCATTCAGTGTTAGATGCATTTTTTGGGCAGAAGAATCACTGAGAAGCAGCACTTAGGTGGTTTATTTTCAATGCTTTCTGAGTTGCAGGATTAAAAAACCCACACAAATGGCAATATTCATCTCTACCACTGCCAAAAACCATTGATGATTCAAAATACCATTTACATTATAACAGTTGGGGAGTGAAGTTTTAAGGGGAAGATAGAAAGCTGTCCCTCTTCACTCATCTCCACTGGCTTATGTTGCTGTTCAGAAGTGTGAAATAATAAGATTCTGATAAGCAAACTGAAGTGATACAGTGCTGTCAGCCCTTTGGAGTTTTTCCTGAGAAGGATAGTGCATGAGAGGTAAAAGATTTGCTTTTCTTTTATGATGGAAAATGGCACTGGAGTGAACATTCTGTGATCCAACAAAATATTTTCAGGAGTTTAGTAAGGGAGGTGAGAAAAGACTGAGAGAGTTGGGATTGTTCAGAAGCTCCAGGGAGACCTCAGAGCTCCTTCCAGTGCCTTAAGGGGCTTATAAGAAGGCTGCAGAGGGGCTTTTCATTTGGAAATGGATGGTCTTCAAGGTCCCTTTCAACCCAAGCCATTCCATGATTCTGTGATTCTGCTTCTTTCATGTGGACATAAATCCCTTGGGAGAGACATTAGCAAGTTAACAGTGGAGTGATGAGATTAATGTCATTAACTTCTGAAAGTTCTGGGGTTTGTGTATCAATATTTGCTGTTATGGTACATGCAGAGTGTGAAAAGTGCTAATTTTTTAAGCAGCCAACTAGCAAGGAATTGGGAAGATACCAAATGGATGTACTACCTGTCTGTAATCAGAGGAAGAGGTGGGAAAAAAAACTGTGTGTGTATATTCTTAAAAGAGAATTGTAGATAATGTCCTGCCAAGCCACATTTGTTCAACCCAAATGTTTCCCCTTCAATCCTCAATGGAATATGAGCCATTCTCTTGGGGAACTTCTGCTCTTACAGAATCCTTAGCAAACTCTGCACTGTGCAAAGCAGAGTAAGAACAGATAACACTGAATATTCTGTTACCCCATTTGGAAGTGCTGCATCCCCAGTTTGGCACTGCATTTTTATCCAGGTGTGATGGACATGGGTAACAATGCCTGTCAATAACAGAATTAATCCAATTACATAGCAACACAATTGTTCCTTTTCACATAGATGCAAGAAGGTTGGTGTTTAACTTAGAGGAAGAATCAGCTGGAATTGACCTCATCCTGACTTGAAGCTTCCTTCAAGATGGTGTTCACATAGTACAGTGCAATGTTTCCATAATAATAAGCACAGTAAACTGATTTGTTTTAAAATACCAAAGCATTCTGATGGCACTGAATTGTTATACCTCAAGTTATGCTGCTTGACTTTAAAAATGTTAGTGCTGTGCTGGTGGATCATTTCCAAGGTAGAGGACACTGCATTTTTAAGCTATTAAGGATCCTTGTGTGTGGTCCAAACACTTTATTTTGAATTAAGACTTCCTGCCCAAGTCTCAGTTGTAAGACAAATGCATTAAGGTGATTAATGTTGAGGTCCTTAGCAGATTTTTTTTTTTTCAGATACTGTGATCTATAATACTTAAAACACTTGAGCAAAACTGTTCACAATTCAGAATTGACTGTATTTATCTGTTCTCTGGGTTGAAGGAGGGAATGAAATGCAGTGGTACATCCAGGTACAGAGCTGTTTCCAACAACAGGTGTGCTCTGCATGTCAGAGCTGACTTGTGTTTGCCTCTTGAAGCCATGTGAAGAAAATGGAATTGGTTATCCATGGCATGTCTTCATTGCCTATTCTATGGCTTTCTTAACCCCAGAGTACAGTGACTTTTAAAAACTGACAATTCTAGAGCTACAAAAGACTTTTCAAACCAGCACATTTGAGGTTTGCTTTGATAGACAACCTTTCAGTGAGTTGACTGCCATAGCTGCCAAAAAAGCCTCCAGCCTGTTCATCTTTTGGCTTTATCAGTTCTCTGTTCCAGTTCACTGTGTGGTTTCACAAATTATTGTGTTGGCACATCAAAAAGAGCCGTGGGAACCAGGGAGGCAAAGGAGTGCAACAAAGGGCCCTTAAGCCAGTGCAAGTGACAATGCTGAATACATAACCAGTGCCTGGAAGTTGGGACCAGCTCTCTTCTGAAGTAGGTACCCAAAGACAGAACCTACAGTGTGGAATTTCACAGAAATAGGCCAGGAACCATCTCTGTGTTGTAGATTGTCCTACATTTAAGGCTTGCAGAGTGTTTGCTGTTCAGCTCCTATTTTTTATTGCTGTGCTAAGAGGAGTTAAATGCAGTTCTGTGTAAGGACTTTCTGTTTACAAGGTGCCTGTGTTGGATCCATATTCTCAAAGCAGAATTGGTGCTTTGCCATGCTGTGTGTTTCCCTGGATGTAGGATTCCCTTTTTCAAGCCTGGCAAGATTTGCAGCCTCTCTGATCAGAGTCCCATTAAGCTTCTATAATCCAAAACTTTTTAATTTATGAAGAAAGCCTTTTTTATTGGGAATTAGTGCAATGCTCACTGCTGTACATTGTTACTTGGCAGGTGAGGAACAGCAGTGGATGCTGTAAATGGTTTGGGCTGACAGCTTGACAGCTAGAACCTGAAAAAATTAGCAAAATTTTAATTCCACAGATCATTTCTCTTTAAAAGAGCACAACTTTTTCTTAGTCAAAATAATGATGGTTGACAAGCTTGTCTTGACAGGCATTGATGGAATACAATCTAAAAGTTATCAGTTATATTTGGGATGTTATGTTTTCATTCCTGACTTTTCAATTAGTCTCCCAAACCAATGGGTTTTTCAGTTCTGTTTGCTGTGGCTCTTTGTTCTCCTTGTACTTTCTCTTGTTGCCACCTTTCCTCCATCTTCCTCATCCTTTAACTTTCATCCTCTGTCTGTATTTTTCCAGCTCAGAATTAGTTCCAAACAAACAAATTTGGTGTTTGAACAGCAGAGGGAGTTCATATCTCTTTTTTTCTTCCTTTTTTTTTCCCCTTTTCTAAATCTGTAAAATGTAATTTCATCCCTGTTCAGGTTTCATAGCCTAGGAGGAGTCAGTCTCTTGGGAGAGGGTTATTAGATTCCATTTGCAGCAGTGGCTGTTTTCATTTGAATGTGGGTTTTTTTCCCCCATTAAACAGTGAAAATAATTTTAAGCGTTCCAGCACTTAACCCTTTAGCAACTGTTACCAGAAAAACTGAGGGAAGAGATTCCAGCTAATGGGATTGTTGCATATGATGGAAAAATCAGACTACAGGAAGTTTTGTGCTTGTGGAATGAGAAAACATTCACATTTTTAATCTTTTACTGCATTTATCAGCCGTATGTCAAATGGCTTGAAGTGAGGTTTTCTTTCATTTTGCCAAAGTATTTTGTAAAGAGCAGAAGGAGGAAAAGTTCTGCTTAATTCCAGGCCCTGGTTAGGTGTTGTCAGTGGGATTTTGCCTCACACAGTGGGACAAATCCACGTGCTCAGCACTGCTGTGGGCTGTGTCTTCCCAGCCTTACTGTTTGCCAGCACAGATTTTTGTGTAGGTAAAAAGGACATGTTTCCTCTTCCTTCAGAGGCATAACTTTTAGTTACTTGTGGGTGACTTTTCAGCTGACTTTATTCTGAGATGCAGTGCCCTGTCTGCCTGTGCCAAAGCTTGGCCCCTTGCAGCTCAGAGCAGTGGGAGAGCTGGGGGAAGGAGCTGCTTCAGCTGCAGGGAATTACATGCATGACTCTGCCTTGAGGCTTTGGTCTTAGGGAGAGATTCCTACTGAATGCAAGGGCTTCACATCCCTGTGGATCCTGAGGGGCAGAGTTACATTACTGCCATTCCAAGCCTGTGAGTCAACCTCAAGTTCCAGGATGGTTGTAGATAGCATTGTTGTTAAAGCCTCAAAGGTGAGGAGATGCCAAAAATTACCTATTTTGATTTCCTTCCAGGAAAAGCTGCAGTTTTGAAGTGCCTGCTGGACATTCACAAGATTTTTGTGGAGAGTGATGACCCTGCTTACATCCTTAATGATCTCTTCATCACAGACTATTGCATCTGGATTCAGAAAATCAAGTAAGTTCTTCAGTAGTTAGTGATATGGGAAGTGCTTTTGGCATACTTCTCTATGATGAAGTATCAGCAAAATTCTTTACTGTGAGGTGCTGAGGCTCTGGCACAGGTTGCCCAGAGAAGCTGTGGCTGCTCCATCCCTGGGAGTGTTCCAGACCAGGTTGGATGGGGCTTGGAGCAACCTGGGCTAGTGGAAGGTGTCCCTGGTCTTTAAGGTCCTTCCAACCCAAACCAGTCTGGAATTCTATGAAAAAGAAATGTTGACACCTACAAATGGAAATACGATCAGTTTTGTTCAGTTAGTATCCCTGACTGTGCCAGCTGCTCTTACTACAGAGGCAAAGACATAGAGTCATCACAGAATCAGTTGGAATGGAAAAGACCTCCAAGATCATCAATTCCAACCCTCCTGTGGTTACTAGACCATGGCACTAACTGCCACATCTAGTCTCACATTCAGTGCATTTTTTTTGGTCTGGTAACATCTCTGGAGGAGGAATTACATCTTAAATAAAAGTGTAAATTTTAATGTATTAATAGTTTTTCTGTGGGACAAAACAGCTTCTGGGGAATTTTCATTCTGTTGTTATCTTAGGAAGAAAAGTGTTTATATAGCACTTAGGTAACTCTAAAAGAAAGGTTAGAAACAACTTCTAGGTCAGGAGTGAATTGACAGCACATACAAACCTTTCACATCTGTAGGAAGCTGTTGATTTATGAACTGTAGCAGTTGTACTAATTGATTATTAACACCACAATAAGTGTCACAAATCTCCATGCACTGTGTCCTCCTGCCCCTGGAGCTGCTGCCAGCTCACTCTCCCTGGCAATATGCTTTGGCTTCCACTTCACTTGAGAGGAAACAGTGGCTCTGCCACTTCCAGGCAAAGCCCATGGACTTCAACACTTCTCTGTCTCACCTGTGTTCTTTCACTGGAGTCAACATGGCTTATTTCCAGAGGTTTGGGCACTTTGCTGCCAGCCTGGTTAGAAGTCTCAGCATGTTTGAATGGCTTAAAACCAAAAGTATCAGTAGGAAAACAGTGGGAAGTGGATTAAATGATTAAAGCAAGCTGCATGTTCAAATCTTGCTAAGCTTTATATTGTTCTTGTCAGATTTATTCTGGTTTCCATACAGCTTTTTTACTTTCTTCCTCCCTTTTTATGTCTTCTCTGCAGGCCCACAGAAGTATGTGTGTGAGTTGCAGAAGGAAACAGTTATTAATATAAACACCAAAAATTTGCCATATTTGTTAATGCAGCAAAATATAGACTCATAAAACTGGTTATAATTAGTCTTTGCATTTCAGTTCACCATTTAACAAGCAACTGTGGGAGGGAAAATAACTGAAGTGCACAAGGCACAAGAAGCAGTGAGAGGATACAGAGGGAATTTGGCAATAATCATGATCAGAAAGGGGAATGTAGCAGAGAATTGAGCTGCTCAGGCTGCATGTTCTGGTGTCACCACAACTCCTTAGAGAATTCAAGACCTCTTATTACATCTTGTAGATGTTGGTTCTTACCCTCTATGTGCTTTCAGTGACTGTTCCTGTGGGTAACAATGCACAAAATACTCTCAAGCAGCTACAGGTATTCCCAAACCTTTCGATTCATCTATCCTGATTAATTCCGGGAACATCCAGTTCATTTTACACTGTCAATTTTTTTCCAACCACACCTTTTAATGTGTGGCAAATTCCCCAACTATGGGGAAATTCATCTTCAGGTTGAAGTTGAGTTGCAAAAGTGCAGTAAATAAAGAAGGAGAAAGTTATTTCATGGCTCTTTCACAAAGGAATGAGTCATAAGGCAGTAATATCACTGCTGCCCATATCAATGAATATCATGTCTAGCAAATCAGTGATTAAAAACTAGGTTTTGCTTTAAATCCAGCCCAGGAAAATGCACAGTAGCTCTAAGTGACTGATAGATTAACACATTTCCTTCCAGACTCTCACATTATGTACCAGTTAAGCAGAACTGACAGCTGCTGGAAAGAGGGCAATTAAGCTATCTTATTGTCAGAGTGACAGGGCACAATAGCTGTCTGTCATCAGGAGAGCCAGAAAAGAGGAACCACAGAAAACCATTCCTATTTTTAGGTCTGAACCAGGACAGCATTTAAGCATATGCTGAAGTCATTCCTGTTCAGTTCAGCAGTGAAGAATGTGTTTGAAGTTCAGCATGTGCAAAGCGAACAGGAACACTTTGTTTTATTCCTTTATGTCTAAGGGAACAACTAAGTTCACTTGTCATTCAGAAATACCTCAATGGCCACAGAGATGGATAGTGACTTGTCTGTTCAGGACAAGGGTTCTCAGCTCCCCGGGGTAAGGGATCTGGAGAGGAGGGTGGTGCATCGTCCCTTTCAGGGGAAGAAGGTTATGCCATCCCTCTGGTAATTCCTTATGAAGCACTGGCACAGGTTGCCCAGAGCAGCTGTGGTTGCTCCATCCCTCTGAGTGTTCCAGGCCAGGTTGGGTTGGAAGGGGAGCAACCTGTGCTAGTGGAAAATGTCCCTGCCCATGGCAGGAGGTGGGACTGGATGAGCTTTAAGGTCTCTTCTAACCCAAACCAGTCTGTGATTCTATAATTGCCTTTGTGGTGAAAGAGTTCTGGGAGGGGAAGGTATTCATAGGTATTTTTGTGGTGGTCTTTGAATGAAGTTATTTGCAGCTTCAGTCCATCTGGATACTTTCACTGTTTTGTTTCTTAGCTATTCTTTTCTCCATGCAAGCTTCATTTACTTCCTTTGTCTCCATTTCCTCCTGTCCTTTCATAGCTGTAGTCCCAGGGCACTCTCCAAATCCTTGGAGGGTTTTCCTTTTCTTCCCTGTTTCCCTGGTATGTAACCAAATCCTAGTGGAGGTTGGGGCCTCTTTGTTTTTAACAGTTAAAACAGACTGTGAGTTCTTTTGAGTGCAGATTCTGAGCACTTTAAAAACAGCTGGAACCAAAGCTTTTTAGCTCACCTGTGCTGGCAGAGAAGAGCCTGGGAGATGGAGGTTTGGGAGGAAAGTTTGGCACAGGCAGAACAGTGTGGATGTATCCAGTGGTAGTAAGCACACAGCTCTATTCCAGATGAAGAGGGAGGTGTTGGCTTTTAAACCTTCAGTGTGGAAACACAAACCTTATAGCCAGTAGTGTGTCAATAGCTGATTACAAATTTGCTTTGAGATCATAGTTTGGCTGTGGGTAAATGAGATGAATAAGTGAATGTGTCACTGGGCTGGCAAAAGCTGATTTATTTTAAGCACAATGTATCTGGAATTGGAAATGATTAATGCTGAGTAAAACACATGCAGGTGGCTAACAGTCAGTAAGGTATGGGGAGTACAAGCTAGTTACTGAATTCTAAGGGTTTTGTGGGGATTTTTTTCCAGAATAATGACTATATTCAGGTACCTGTTCCTAGCAGAAAAGTAGATTCCTTAATGTCTTAGACAATGCAAGATGTTAGCAAGTGCAGCTAAACTTTTGTCTCTTGTTTGCAACCTTTGAGCTAGTTTTACCTCTTTCCAGGTGTCTAATATTTCTCTTTAAGATGCTTGTGAAGTGACTAAGAATAATTTCATCTCTTGTATGAAGTGGCTTGTAAATCCTTTCAGCTGTTCGTTAGGTTTTGAAGAAAGGGAACATGTTGCTCAGGAAAACTTAGCAGGGGAAAAAAAGGGGGGAAAATAAATGTTAACCTGGGTAACAAAAGCTTAACAAAGACCTATGGAGCAGCTTGTGGTAAATCTCGGCAGGTGGTGTCAACATTTCTGTGGAAAAGCCAGATGCAGCCAGATGGAAAATTGCATCTTTAACCCCTGAGGTCATAATGACATGTCATCACTTCATTTGATCCCCCTGCTAAGTGAGCTTATCATCCACCCTGCTGTCACTTCTGTTATTGCTTTCATTTCCATAATGAAATTAAATCTAATGTGTCTGCTTTGCATGTTCTTGGTTTTTGGGTCCAAGCTTTTACAAACCACTGGTATATATGGCAGCCTTTCCAAGGTGAAGTTATAACTGAATTTGTGTTATGACTCTGAGCTTTTCTCCACCTTTCACACATTCCTTTGGGAAAGGGAGATGAGGGAGAGGAGAAGGAGCTCTGGGGAAACCACTGGTTGGATGACAGCTGCAGTATGGGCTGCTGAGTCCAGGGAAATCCAGGGGTGGGTTAGCTTTCTCCCTTCAGAGAGGAATTCCTGTGTGGAGTTGTGTCCTTGATAGAAGTCAGAATAGTTTACCCACTGACTCTTTCTGTGCTGAGGTTCCTTTGTGTGGCCTGATGTCTTTCTCTCCAGTGTTTGCTGTTTCCCTTTGTGCCAGGCTCTATCCATACTGGTTTTTGTTGGCCACTGGTGTACATAAGTGCTTGCTGGTGGCTCAGCCACACAGAGCCTGGGAGTGGAAGGCTGAACAGCTCCCTGTGAGTCCTTGCCCACACTGGCAGCTAAGTACATAATATCATTGTATGTTAAGAGGTTGGAATGGACCTTAGAGATCATCCAGTTCCATCCCCTGCCCTGGGCAGGGACACCTTCCCCTAGAGCAGATTGCTCCATGCCCCATCCAAGCTGTTGTATAGTTGTACATTTCTCAGGGTTTTATGGGTCTGAGGAATGCAGGAGAATCAGGTGTTTGATCCAGCATATATTTTTCATCATCACTCTTCTTCCACTTTTTGCCTTTCCACCTGACCTTTTATTCATGTTCTGTTGCAAAAAAAAAAAGTGTATAATCATGGTTTGTGTTGTGTTCTGTAGTTGTTTCAACTTGTGCAGTGAAGGAGATCTGTGTGTTAAGACAGATGAGCTGTTAAATTGCCTTGGTGTGTTCTGTGGAACTGCATCTGCTACTTGCTTTGTTCTCCTTCATGTGCATGTACTCCCCAACCTCAGACAAAGGTGATGTTGCTAATTCTGGTGTAATATGTAGGTGTAACATGGCAGTTCAAGCATGGACTGTGTGAGTTACAGTAAAACCCAGGATTCCTGGTGGCATTT